ATAGTGTAGATTGAGGTGTACTGGCTATTTCTCTTGAAAGTGCAGTGTAAGTTGAAGTTTACTGACTGTTTTTGTTTGATTTTATAGTATCAATTTTTACCTAAACAGGAGTTCAAATTGTATTATGTACAAACCAAAGTTTTAAATAAGTTTCATGAATCCTTCATTATAAGGCATTGCAAAATGAAAAATAAAAACAAATTTGAAAATATGATTTTTTGTCTGAAATGAATTAAAGTACTAAATCCTACTTATTATGACTTTAAACTTACAAATGTAAATTGTAAATGCATGTGCATATATGTATACAGATGTGGAGTATGTTATATTAAAATTATTTTTGAGCCTTACCTTATCATTTACAGTTCACATTGCCCCATCTGATCAAGCTCTATGCAATGACTGTGTATCTTGACAATAGTCCTGAAACATAATTTCCATTGCAAGAGGCTCTGTCACGTTCTAAACAAACCCATCCTATTTTTCAAATTCATCTTGTGTATGATGGCAGATGTTCCAGTGCTTGTTTCAACAGTATGATTGCACAGAAATCCATAGACACTCTTATCAATGACTTTATAAATATGTTGCTTATGAAGTAGCAAGATGGCCCATTTCATTCTCCATATGCTTGAGGTATGCAGTAGTTGAACTGTTGTTTGTTGCGTGGACAGCTTTCGCTACTAACCTATGTGTTTCTAGATTCTCACCTCTTATAAGATTCCATTCTTTACTCACCATGGCTGGGATGGGACTTGTAGCAGATCTCTTTCTGGATGGTCCTGATATCCTAGGTTGATTCATTTACCTTTATTTTACAATTCCATTACATATAAGGAATATTCTCATCTTTGAAATTCTAAATCTCAGATTTGAATACATCTTTATGATCTGATTTATGAATACTTTGAAAAGAGCTGCTACACACCTTTCCTAAAAGTGATAAGTTTTTTTGGTGGCATCATACTGTCTACAATATGCCAAAGAATATCATTGTGCATATTAATATCATTTTAATATAATGTACTCAACCCTCTATGTGTGTGTATAAATGAAGTTATTTGTTTAACCAGGTGTTATTCATATGTAAGTACATTAATGTTACATAAAAATTCTCTTTCTACATACACACAGTGGTTTACTAAGAAGAAAGGCCTTGTGGTTGGAATATCATCTGCAGGGTTTGGACTTGCCCCATTAATTCTGAACCCAATCCAAACCGAGTTCATTAATCCTCTGAATTTGCCTCCAGATGAATATGGGTAAACTTTATTAGATACATAACCAAAACGAAGAATTTTATATTAATACACCAAAGATTTAAAAGACCAATAAGCAAGAGTAAAGCTTTAACTAAAAATGTAATAAAATTAACAAATATGAAAAAAAAGAAAGTGAAATGGATTGATGTATAATTAGTAAGAATATTGAAGTTTTTTGACATGTAATTAACAGTACTAGATATAAAACTAATTAGAAATAGTTTGGTCAGTAATTAATAGTAATATGATAAAGTGTTAGAAAATGATGTGACTAATATGAAACAACAGATATTTAAGAACACTGGCTTGAGTAAAGATGAGTATTTAGGTGTTTAAGAACACAGTTTTAAAGGAAGACAAGTGTGCTGAAGGATGTTTTTAAAAGAAAACAAATGTATAGAAGGACATTTTTAAAGAAGACATTAGTTTAAAGACACTTTTAAAGGACGATGAATATTTAAGAACACTGTTTTAAAGGATGATGAATATTTAGGAGCATTTTTAGAGGATGAAAAATGTTCAAGGATATTGCTGTAAGTTCTTACATAATGTTTGCTTTTCTTAGAAAAATAATTAATGGGATGTACATTGTTTTTGTGATTGATCTTGCATTGTATTTTTTTATTTTTGAAGATTCTTTACAGATCCAGATCTATTGCATTTTGAGAGGTACTTTACAGATCCAGATCTATTGTATTGTATATTTTTGAAGGTACTTTACAGATCCAGATCTATTGTATTATATATTTTTGAAGGTACTTTACAGATCCAGATCTATTGTATTATATATATTTTTGAAGGTACTTTGCAGATCCATATCTATTGTATTATATATTTTTGAAGGTACTTTGCAGATTCATATCTGTTGTATTTTTTTATTTTTGAAGGTACTTTACAGATCCAGATCTATTAGACCAAGTTATCCTTACTTTCCCACTTTTAGGAGGTATTTACTTAGCATTGCAACTGATTGGCTGTATTTTCCTGGTTAACCCTCCCATTAAGAAAAATTCTGACATTAACGTAAGTTGTTATGTGAAACCTCATTGAATAGGAAATACTGCTTTATGTCATATAGTATATAGTGTAACTTTTTGTTTTTATTTGTTTTGATTTTAATTAACAATTTTTAATGCATATGTATGTGTTAAATCCACTACACAAAAGCAACTTTCTATAGCCAGGGCTTAGGATATAAAAGTTTGGAGATGGCTTGAATAGGTAAGGAAAAACTTTATTATAAGTGTATAATGTTTCAACAAGATTATGTTCTCATCAAGTACAAAAGGTTTCTTCATTATCCATTCAAGCCATCTCCAAACTTTTATTTTCTGAAATATGGGTTCTTCATCATTAGATTTAAAATGTTAGGATGCAAATGTTAGGGATGATACAGGAAGGCTAATAAATCTGATGATTATGGGATAGTTGAATTATTAAATTCTACTTTTTTTTCAGTCTTTACAAAGCAATATTCTTCATCTTGATGGAAACAAGACAATGACATTAATTCTGAGCTTGTTAAGAAAAAATTGGGGTATTTAAATAATGATGATGAAGCTTCTGATCCAAATAATATTTACTTAAGGATTTTGAAGGATGTTAAGGATTGGACATGTGAGCCACTTGCTATTATTTTATATAAGTCCTTGAATGTTAGGCTGGTGCTATGAGATTGAAAGTTGACTAATGTTACTCCTCTTTTCAAGGGAGGAAATAAAAAAAAATGTCCCTGTGATTATAGGCCTAGTTGTACATCAGTGGTGTGGAAAGTTTTTGAAAGTCTGATAAAAGATGTTTTGCAAAGTCATTTAACAAATTTTCAAATTTTGTTGGATAATTAGTATAGGTTTCCTTGGGGGGAAAACCTTACCTTACTAATATTTTGACATTTTTTGAAGAAGTTACTGCTTATGTAGATGAGGGTATATGTGTGGATTTGGTCTATCTGGATTTTCAGAAAGCATTTGACAAGATGCCACATAATGTTAGTTAGTAAAAATTTAAAGCCTTGGCATGTCTGCAAGAGACATAGTGCTAGTATTTTTGAACTTCACTTTCAAATGGCACAAGGGGATGAAAATGGTTAACCCCCAGGTATCAGCTGGTACACTTCATACAATTGGGTAGACTGGAACAAGTGGGTTAAAGTATCTTGCTCAAGGACACAACAAGATGACATGGGCCATCCTTGAACTTGCAACCATCCAACTGCAAGTTGGAAGCACAAAGCAATTGATCCATGCTGCTATGTAAAAGGCTTGTTAAAAAGTTATCTCTATAGGTGTGGGGGATAAGTTGGTTCATTGGATAGAAAACTGGCTAGATGGAAGAAAGCAGAGGGTTACCATAAATGGAGCTCTGTCAAGCTGTTATAGTGTCACAAATGTGGTGCCTCAGGGCTCAATGTTGGGACCTATACTCTTTTTGATTACATCAATGACATAGATGAAGGAAAGGTCAGTGAATTATTTAAATTTGCTGATGATATTATTTTTAGTTGTTGCTGGCTATGAGGTGGAGGATGCTGTTGCTTTACAAAAAGATTTGGATTAGTTGGTGAGTTGTGCAAGCAAATGGCAGATAGCTTGGAATTATAGTAAATGCAAAATAATGCATGTGTTATCATAATTTTAATTATAAGTATAATTTGGATGGGAATAACCTTATCAGTGTTATGGAAGTAAAGGATCTTGGTGTTCTAGTCAATCAGCCATCCAAGAAATATGTTGTTGCTAGTGGCAGGGCATATTGGATTGTATCTAGAGAAAGTTTGAATACAAGTCTAAGGAGGTTATAATTTCATTGTATAGTTCATTGGTTAGGCCATGTTTGGAGTGCTGTGTTCAGTCTTGAGCTATTTAACTAAGGAAGGGCATTGAATTGTTGGAAAAGATCCAGAGAATAGCTACTAGAATGAATACTGGGATGGAAAGGTCATATGAGGCTGCTCCTTACCTTACATAGGGCATGGAATTATTGGAAAGGGTTCAGAGTAAGACTACTAAGATGATGTCTGGGATGGAAAGGTTGTTATACAAGGATAGCTTAAGATCTCTGAACTAGTTTTTTCTTGAAACAATAATAGAGGGAATCTAATTGAGGTATTTAATTTTCTTAAGGGAATTGGTAGTATCGAGGCATAATTTTTTTGTCATACTTAATGGTGAGATTACGGGACACAAATATAAATTTTGGCAGGGTATGAACCATCTTCAGCTAAGGTAGTTTTATTTTCTAACAGGGCGGTTGTCCTTTGTAATGGGTTGCCTTCAGATATAGTAGATGCAATTCATTTAAGGGAAGGCTTCATAAATATTTGAATGATAAGGGCTGGCTTTGAGTGCATTATGCTTATTTTAGAGTTTAGTATAGTGGATTGGATGATCTAGATGGACTAACGGGTCCCTCATTGTCCTTAAATTATAATTAAGTTATTAATTTCCAAAACAGTGTTCCAACTCTGTAAATACATACAATGGGCTATATTGTTATATTCCTGGTAAAAGTAGTCAATTAACATGTTCGGTCATTCTTGTTATCCAAGTATTTCTTGTTACTAGGTTTTCACTGGTAGGATATGAAAAATTTTAATAAAAAATTATTTAATTTTTGTAGTGCATATTGGTGTATAAAAGACATTTTAATACAAGAAATAAATGACCCTATAACACCAAATCATTGTTTTTATTTATTTAGACACTCAAAATGTTGCTTTACGGCTGCTTTAGGAGTTTTTCACAAAAACACAAACTATTATTGACAGTACAGATTTTCAAAGCTTTGGACTGTCAGTTATGGTTTGTGTTTTAGTGGAATGCTCATGAAGAAGCTCTAAAGCAAAATGTTGAGATTCTAATTAAATGAAAACAGTGATTTGGTATTATAAGGTTGTTTATTTCTAGCCTTAATAAAAATATTTTCACAATCAAATTTAGATTGAGAAAGGTGGTGAAAAGTTGAAAGATGATGTAAAGGAAGAAGATAGAAGTGAGAAGTTGAAAGATGATGTAAAGGAAGAAGATAGAAGTGAGAAGTTGAAAGATGATGTAAAGGAAGAAGATAGAAGTGAGAAGTTGAAAGATGATGTAAAGGAAGAAGATAGAAGTGAGAAGTTGAAGGATGATGTAAATGAAGAAGATGCAAGAGATGAACTTGAAAACAAGGAAACCAAAGTCATAGAAGAGGATAATTTTACAGTGATGTCAATGCTTAAAACTAAAGAGTTTTATATTCTTACATTCACTATGGCTTTATCTTACCAGACTATCCTCTTCATGATAGCCATGACTAAGGTAAAGTATATTGTCTTGATAACAGTTTAGTTATGGTACTAAGTTATTAATGTATTCTTGAAATGATCACAGTAATGATAGTAAAGTTATGTTTCATATGTTGTTGAAGTAACCATAGTTAAGAAAGTAAGGCTATGTCTCTTTTGTCATTGAAATAACCATAGTTAGGATAGTAAGGCTATGTCCTGATATGTCATTGAAATAACCATAGTTAGGATAGTAAGGCTATGTCTCTTATGTCATTGAAATAACCATAGTTAGGATAGTAAGGTTATGTCTCTTATGTCATTGAAATAACCATAGTTAGGATAATAAGGTTATGTCTCTTATGTAGTTGAAATAACCATAGTTAGGATAATACGGTTATGTCTCTTATGTAGTTGAAATAACCATAGTTAGGATAATACGGTTATGTCTCTTATGTCATTGAAATAACCATAGTTAGGATAGTAAGGTTATGTCTCTTATGTAGTTGAAATAACCATAGTTAGGATAGTAAGGTTATGTCTTATGTCATTTAAATAACCATAGTTAGGATAGTAAGGTTATGTCTCTTATGTCATTGAAATAACTATAGTTAAGATAGTAAGGCTATTTCTGATATGTTGTTGAAATAACTATAGTTAGGATAGTAAGGTTATGTCATATGAGAAATAGCCTTACTATCTTAACTATGGTTATTTCAATGACATAAGAGACATAACCTTACTATCCTAACTATAGTTATTTCAACAACATATGAGAAATAGCCTTACTATCTTAACTATGGTTATTTCAATGACATAAGGGTTGTTGAAATAACTATAGATATAATTGTAATGTTATGTTGTTGAAGTAACCATTACCCTTTGAAGTTAGCTTTCTTACGGAAGTTTCATGTTCCTTTAAAAAGCTTAAGTACAGGGTGAAACAGGAATTAGCAGCGAATAATAGATAATAAATATTTAAGTTGGAAGCTCATTGTATTTAGAACTTGATTATAAATACAACCTTCCTATGTCTATTGAAACACTACATTAAACAAAACAAGTAAAGAAAAACTTTAAAAAAAGGAAGTAAATGTAAGGTTGGCTAACATCAATCATTCACAAACAATGCAAATAAAATAGTAGGGATGGCATCATTACTATATTTTTTGAATTATTTGTGAAGGACTGATTTTAGCATCCCTTCATTTACTTCCTTTTTTGAAAAGTTTTTTATTTACTTGTTAAAGTTCTTGTTTTTACTTCTTTATAGAAAGTATCAAGTATTGAGTGTCATGCAGTATCTGGTCATTATGCAGGTTTGTGGTTGTGGAACAGATGAACAGTGCCATCTTATGAGATGGAAATATACAATTAGATAGAGTTTTCCATGGTGTGGGATCATATTGGCAGATTGAGTAGTCATACAGCCCATCACGCTAATGATGGACCACAAAAAGTGACAGTTATCACATTCCATCATTAACAAATTCATATAGAAAAGTAACGGACAAGTTATCACATTCCATCATTAACAAATTCATATAGAAAAGTGACGGACAAGTTATCAGTATAACACAGGGTATAAAAACAGACATTTAATTATAGTATAACACCAGGTATAAAAACAGACAATTATAGCATAATATCGGGTATAAAAACAGATGTTTAATTATAGTATAATACCGGGTAAAAAAATAGACATTTAATTACAGTATAACACAGGGTATAAAAATATACATTTAATTACAGTATAATACAGGGTATAAAATCAGACATTTAAAAACAGACTGTGTGATAACTTGTCTGTCACTTTTTCTATATGAATTTGTTAATGATGGAATGTGATAACTTGTCTGTCACTTTTCTAGATGAATTTGTTAATGATGGAATGTGATAACTTGTCCATCACTTTTCTACATGAATTTGTTAATGATGGAGTGTGATAACTTGTCCGTCACTTTTCTAGATGAATTTGTTAATGATGGAACGTAATAATTGTATAACACAGGGTATTAAAACAGACTTTTAATAATAGTATAACACAGGGTATTAAAACAGACTTTTAATTATATAATACCGGGTATAAAAACAGACATTTAGACATTTAATTATAGTATAACACAAGGTATAAAACAGACATTTAATTATAGTATAAACACCAGGTATAAAAACAGATATTTAATTATAGTATAACACAGGGTACAAAAACAGACATTTAATTACAGTATAACACCAGGCATAAAAACAGACATTTAATTATAGTGTTTTTATACCCTGTGTTCTACTGTACTTAAATGTCTGTTTTTATACCCTGTGTTATACTATAATTAAATGTCTGTATTTATACCCTGTGTTATTCTGTAATTAAATGTCTGTTATAATTTAAAGTGTTTTGTTTTGTATACCATATATATATATACTTGTGTGTTTATAAAGTTACCATCATATTATTTTTAAGCTTTTCATTAATAAAGAAGAAATGTCTTACGAGTTACTTTTGTTTCAGGCATATGGACAGACCTATATTAAGGATGATTTTTTTTTATCGGTGGTGACAGCCTTAACCGGTGTTACTAATAGTGTGAGCCAACCTCTGTGGGGATTTCTTTTGGACAAAACTACCTACAAGGTACACCGTAATTCTTACAACATCCTCTTAAATTAATGTACAGTTTTAAGATTATTTCCTGATATTTCCATTTATCTTAGAAAATATTTTTTTGGTTACACAAGAGCAAGCTTGGATTCAGTGAACAGTTTTTAGTGTTTTTAAAACATACGTTTGGAAAATATTGTTCAGAAATTTTTATCATGAAGCATTTCCATGTTGTGTAGATTCTCTTTAAAATAAACAACCTTTAATACAGTCTAGGTTTGTAAAATATCATAATAGCGTTTTTATGAGAAAATGTCAGTCTTTACAATTGAGGACAAGTTTGAGATCATGACTTGAATAGTAGTAGTTAGTAGTTGATATAATTAAGTTTAGGCATGATGAGATGTGATTCAGTATCTTGTTAATTTTACTTTTGTCTCGTTGTACCAGAAGTGTGTATTTGTAGCCTGAACATCAGTTAGTAACAACTAGTAAGTATCATATAATTTTATGCTATAACACTCAGTGTAAAGAACTGATCCATCATGTTGGGTAAGATCACTCATTTTTCATGTACAAGACAGAGGACTTCAGCAGAAACTAGTGGAACTAATTATAATATAGATGGTAATTTTGTTTACATAGTTTCATGTGACTCGCGTGTTATTAGTGACTCACTAATCAACAAAGTTACAAACCCACAAGCAATTTGATGCATAAATACTTTAAAAATAACTATTTAAAAAACAGATGGGGTTCCTTATCTCTAATTCTAGGGGTTAAGTAGTTTATGTCAAAACATAACTGTTTTTTAATGAAGACACTCAACAAGTTGATTCCATTTCAGGATTGTATGGCCACTGTAAATGCTCTTCTAACTGCATTTATGTTAACCTTCTATGCTACACCATATGGCTACAAGACAATGTTTACAGTGTGGGTTTTAGCAATTGAGTTTGTTATGTCATCAGTCTTCGTATTGATTCCTGCAGCATGTGCCCAGGTATATGGGGCAAAGCATTCTGGGACCTCAGTAGGTTTTGTTTTCATTTTTCCGGTGAGTACACAAAAAAGTATTGTGTATGGTTACATAGTTTTTTTTCTAAATATAAGAATGTTGTTAAGGAAAATACTGTTATGATATAATTTAACACAATGTTTAGAGACAACAAGGGACTTATTGGTCCATCTCAGCTGTCACATCCTCTAAGTTAAACTATTATAAATTAGAAAAACAAACAAACCTAAACCCAGCCCATATCATTTATATAGTTATCAAGCTTTCTCTTGAACTCACTTAAATTTACTGCCTCTACAACATCCAAAGGCAACCCATTCCAGAGGCCAACCACCCTGTTAGAAAAATAAAACTTAGCTGAAGATGAATCCTACCTTGCCAAAATTTATATTTCTGTCTCTTAGTGTTATTATACTTGCCATTAACTATGAAAAAACACTATCAATTCCCTTTAAAATTTAAACACCTCAGTCAGATCCCCTCTAACTCTTCATACACTGTATTTATCAAAAATATTCATGTAACATTTCAACTAGTAATGGGGTTAACCCAGTTGAATTAGAATGTGTTACATTTGCAAAGTTTTTATAAAGATCAGAAACTGCTACAGACAGTTAGTTGGAGTCAGAATGATAATAGCTAATAGGTCTTCAGAAAGGAATGAATATTTGATGGGTGTGAATCACCCATCCATTCATGGGTAATGTGGTATAGATGAAGATGCTAATGTGAATATTGTTTTCTTTTTTTTTGCCTAAATTTAACCTCATTTCAGTCTATGTGAAACTAGAAACAGTAATATTAAATCCATCTCTTAAAATAAGGGCTTTAGATTTATAACTCAACCGTAAATAGTGTCGGAGTGGGTAGTTCGTTGTGAAAGAAAGCCTGTTTTAACTATATATTTGGTCCTTTGGTAATAGACAAAGAAGGTATTAATGATTTGTTTTATTGTGACATTTTGGAAAATACTGAATGCTGCCTTGATGGAATTCTATTAGGAATGGTCAACTCATACGTCCATTGTCATGATGATGTGCGGTGTCATGTTCAACAGTGGTTTGGGATAAATAACATCCAGGATCTGCATTGGCTAAATAGTCCAAATGAATCTAGTGAACCACCTTAGAACATCCAGGATATACTGCATGATGGACAGAAGAGAAATATTATTACTGAATCTGATAAACCACTTTAGAACATTCTGATATACTGTACGATGGACAGAAGAGAAATATTATTACTGAGTCTGATGAACCACATTAGAACATTTTGATATGTGGCATGATGGACAGAAGAGAAATATTATTACTGAGTCTGATGAACCACTTTAGAACATTCTGATATGCAGCATGATGGACAGAAGAGAAATATTATTACTGAGTCTGATGAACCACTTTAGAACATTCTGATATGCAGCATGATGGACAGAAGAGAAATATTATTACTGAGTCTGGTGAACCACTTTAGAACATTCTGATATGCAGCATGATGGACAGAAGAGAA